ATCGATAGTCGACTATCGATAGTTCTGGGACACTATCGATAGTTTTGTTAAAACTATCGATAGTATCGATAGTCAATTTATCGATAGTTTTGCATCACTAGTGCCACCGTCTTTGTCGTAGACAGCCTTCGAGACAGCAAGGACAGCCGTTTCTGCTGTCTTGTGAATCTGGTATCTCGGTGCGTGGGCTGCGCATGCGCATGCGATGCGAATGCGTTCGCTCGGACCAGTGGCGGATTCAGAGGAGGGGGGGGGGGGGGTCAGAATGTTATAACCGCCCTTCTTGAACTCTGCATTTGTAAAAAAATTAGGGCTTGGAAACAGGGGCAAGGAGGGGGGGGGGGGGGGGGGGTAGTTCCTAAACATATGATACGCTGACGAACGCCTCTAGAAATACCTGCGTCCGCCCCTGGCTCGGACGCAGTCGGTCCTGTAGGCCCACTGCCTTCGCCAAGGAGCGGAAATAAATCTCTTCTCATAGTAGAGTATTTGGTTGCTCTCTGTGGCTTACCCCCTTCTTGTAGTGGGTGTAGGTGCATGGCTGAGGATGCGCAGACGGACTGGGAAAGTAGGGTAAGTTGTAGACGGACGCTCAAGCAATACATAAAAAAAAAGGAAAAATAAATTTTGGAAAGCACCCGCGGATTTGTGAGGGTGCCACCGCTCGTAGCCTTTTTCTGCGATGTGTTGTCGTCCCTTCTCTCCCTATTTGGTGGTCGGTCTTGGCGCGGAAGACGCAGGCTTTTTCCCCTCTGTGGGAGGCTATGGCGCGCCTAATTGGCTCTGTCTGATTTCAGTTGACATAATGGCGTGAAAAATATCCAAAGACCTATTTAAGGTGAAATTGAAGAGATTTTGTATTTGGTGCCATTCACTTAAATCTTCTTTATTTGGTCTCTAGGATCATTAATATTGTAATTTTTTTTAAACTTTGGTGCACGGAGGCTGTAGAAAATAATTTTCAAAGTGCCGCTGTTGCCCCTCCTTTCCGGAGCGTGACGTCATATTAAGAGTTTTTAGAATCTCCGCTTTCGCGAATCCTCAGCGCTTCTCAAAGCTATGCACGCAATTATTGCTATATTTAACAAAAGGTTAAAAAAAAAAAAGACTTCAGGACCGGTATCAGTGCTAGGGTGCTACGCTACCGCTGCCAGAAAGCATCGATGGAACTTTCGTCTTTATTCGGGTGCGACAACCTCTCTGGAACTCTGCGCGTGTAGAGCACGAAAAGGCACGAACCCTCGCTCGCGCGGCGGTCTGCCTCCCGGGAACTAAAGTTATGGCGATGACATGCATGTGCCGAACACTTAGTGAAATCGGTCTATTGCACTCAGTGCCCACACGAGCGACACGCGCTTGGCGGCCAAAAAATCTGCGTATGAAATAACGACTGGTCGGAAGTTCTTCGTGTTCTCTCATGGTTAGTCACATCTACAGGGAAAACGAACGTAATATTCAGATTCACTGGATGAAAATGCTCTAAAATTCACCTGTAACTTTTTTTAATAGCCTTTTCGGCTTCTTTTTAAAGAGATTACATAGGTTCTCTCAACAAACAGCAGGTTAACGGTCATTCGGAATGTGACATATGTGTTTGTTTTTGCTGCCTCATTGTTTACTACTGTAGTGATTGGGACAGATTCGCAAGTGTGAGGGGCAAAAAATGAATGCCAGTCAACCATTTTAATGCCACATAAAATTAACATAAATATTAGGATTTATATGGAAAGAAAAGAAAAAAAAGAAATAAGAATGCACTTGTAAAATTACATGAAAGCCCACCTCTTAGAGTTCGCTTATACAAATCATTTAGTGTAAGCGTTTATCGGTAGTGAGGTGGCAGTTGAGATTCACAGGTGGTCTTCTCAACTCGAAGGCTTCACGGTGGCGTCATCAGCTTGAGGTGAACCTGAGGCGCGTAGTTGCAGGTCTTCCGACTGCCGATGGGCCTTGCTGAAACCCTTGTGGTCCAGAACCGTTTTACACATTCGTTTTTGTTCTTTACAGTATAAGACTTTCTTTTCTCCACTGAACCGCCTTCCAGGTTTTTTTTTTGTCTTGTTTGTTGTAGCTGCCAGGGGAATAGTCAGATTATTATTATATTCACCCTCCGCTTCACAGAGTTAGTTCGAAGAACGACTTTTGTGGTGCGTAAATTCAGATGGTTCAGATATCAGGCATACAGGGCATTTTAAGACATGAATAATATATTTTAGACGTCGAAAAGAACAGCATGTACATGCACTACTGCTTCATCACTCTGGTGCTCAAGTACCATTTCACTATATGCAAATCCAAAAAGAGCACTCAGGAAAAAATAATGATGCGACACACATAATATTCATGTAATCATCGTGAATATTTAACGCGTTTGATATATTCTACAGTGAGATGTTATGCCGTGAGTGCTAAGCTCCATTGCGCAACTCGGCTGTTAGGAACTTTGTGAAAACATGGCGGCAAGTCAGAAAAACGCCCAACCTGGTCCAAGTTTGGCAATCCTAGGCGTCTAACTTGGGGATAATAGTGTTTTGCTCCAAGGCGTTAGTTAGGGCCGAATAATTTTTTCTTTTTTTACGTTTATACTTAGTTGTTTTTTTTCTGGTTCGCCAAATAAGTGCCAATGTGCGAGACACGAGCCAAAAATGCCACGTATGAACCGAACAACCAGCAGTGAAGCCTTAAGGCCGGTTCAGACACTTGCGTTTGAGTGCGTTTGACTGCGTTGCGTCGAGAACCTAAAGCGAGTCACCGGCACATCTGTGCTTCGTATGAAGCGTGGAATCCAATTCAAGGAATCATCTTGGCGCGCGATATTAACAGCTTGGATGTCCTGGTTTCTCGCTGCCGCAACGCAGTCAAACACAGTCAAACGCAACTGTCTGAACCAGGCATTACTCTATACTTTAATCCAGCTTCGCTGGTCTGCCATGCACGCGCGCTCGTGAGATGGAGGCGCAGTTCAAGACAGCGGGCCCGTGCTTGCAGCATCGGCTTTGCTTGGAGCTAAGCTGAAATGTAGTATAGAACTTGCTCGGAAATTTAGGCACAATGTTGCCACGTATCAGCCAAACAACCAGCAGTGAAGCTTAATTCTGACACCTATTTGTCAATTTAGGGCCATGTACTTCGACTAGCCAAAAAACATCGAGTTTGGTTAAACTATTTAGAGCCCAGCTCATAGGCGCCCGTTTCCGTGTTTCGCGGCGTCGGCGTCGGCGTAACCGCGCTAAATTTAGCGGGAAAATTGACGTCACGTGACCTCAACAGGAATTCAACTCCCTGCTAAATTTAACGGGGAATTCAGTTTCTCCGCTAGATTTAGATGAAGAATGGACGTCACGTGACCCCCAACACCAATTCAATTCCCCGCTACGTGTCCTCAACACAAATTGAATTCCCTGCCAAATTTAGCGGGACACTGAATTCGTGTTGAGGTCACGTAGGGGGGATCGAATTGTTGTTCACGTCACGCGAAGTCAATTTTCCCACCAAATCTACCGGATAAACTGAATTTGACCGCTAAATCTAGCGAAGAAACTGAATTTGTTCATAGGTTTCGTGACACCAATTCATGCGAAGTCATTTTCCCCACTAAATCTAATGGGGAAAGTAAACAGGAGGCAGAGGGGAGATGAGGGGAGGGAGGAGACGGATGATGAGGGGAGGAGGAGTGGGCACGGAGGAGGAGGATGTACATACCCACCCTTCCGTACCCTCCCCTCCTGTTCCTCGAGAGCTGCGCTCTAATTTCGCATTACAGATATTTGTAAACGTCTTCCAAACTTTTTGCGCTTTCAGCAACCCAAAGTCTCAAAAATGTCAACATAAAAAGCCAAGCCCCGATTTTCTTTTGCTCTCAGTGACCGTCGCTTCCAGTAATAACTGTCGTATATACTGCAATTGTGACGCGACCCATGAAATCATACGCTAAGAAGTTAGCGAACATTTAGTTAATTCCTCGTGATTGTGTTAGTGAACTTTCTATCTTATGTTCGTAGAGCTAAAAAAATAAAGCAAATAGCAATGACGGCCACCGCGCGTAGCAGTACACCGCCATATTTTATTTTAAATGTTTCCAAAAAAAGAAAATTAGAAATCGCGCTTTACATAGGGTATTTCAGTTTTTCGGCTAACTTACTCTAAGAGTGACTCGACAAACGTTGTAAAGGCTGGCACAATATATCGCGGCACAGTACGCGTGTTTAACTATCACGACATTCTTCACCTTCCTGCCGACACAGTCAATCTTTTTTTTTGTGTGTGTGTGTGGTGTGCCTGTCTACTTAACCAAGTTTAATGAGCAAATCTTTAATCTCTTAATTTATGTGTAAACACCCGAATACAAAAAGAAATATGTATTTCGTTTCGAGAAATATCCTATCGGCGCCTTTTTCATTAAGACAGCTTTTGTGTGTAAGTTGTGTTTAGCTTTAGAAAAATGTGCGCGCGATAAAAAGTTTGTTTTCACGTGGCTACCCGCCAGCGAATTGTGATGTATCGTGCTAGTGTCCCTGGTCAGATCGAAGATGTTCGACACAGAAAGGCTACGTCGCTCAAATCAACACGATCAGATGCTGTCCTCAACACTCTGTAGTACTTTTGCAACCGGAGTTTACGCCGAAACGTAGTATTATAATAGTTTTCGAATTAATTTGCGTTATGTAAACAGTCTGTCCAATAACAAAAAAAAGGAAAAAAAATCTTGACTTGTGAAATTGAACCGTGAACAATGGTGCGTTGGTTGGGCATACGGAGCAGCGTCCACCAGCTTTTTTTAATTCTAGGCCTAAGTTATAGCTTGTATCTCAGATTTGATGTAACGGACTGAGCACTACCCGACCCATGTTTGTATAGGTTGTATCTCGTTTCAGATAATGTCACTACATTAAATCAACGAACGGCAGAAGAAATGCACGATATTGAAGAGTCCACCCATTACGTGGGACTATGGGGGCAGTATGTATACAGAATCATTTTTAATCACGCCAACTGGTGGTGGTACGCCCACGCAATGAGAAAATATCTCAACAAGACCGACATCGTCCGGTGGTATGACGGTTTTGCCATCCTCAACAATTACCTGAGGGATGAGTTGGCAGATGAGATCTACGGCAGGTTTAACCTAAATACAAAGGTGAGCTCATTAGATTAAGCTACACTTTTCTGTTTGCCTTTCCTTTCATGATTTTTTATTCCTTCCTCTTGTGCACGTAAGGGAAGATATAGGATTGTTTTGGTGCAGAACATTATTATTATTAATTATTTTATATAAGCGACTTCCATGCGACAATTGGTTATAGAGTTTATGGGATAACCGATGGTACATCAGCCTTAACAATACTTGGTAATCAGTCTAAATAATAATTTAAAAAACACAGTAGAGCTCTTCAATATTCTGTCACTCTGTCTGTACACCGTTCAATATTACATGTTCGAACCAAAGGAGCAATCTCGAATGTATATATTGCACACACTACTGTGTTATATGTAATACACGGTTGTGAGTCTCGTATTGGATGAAACCCAAGAATCTCTTTATTTGTTTTAGCCTGCTTTATAATAACAGTTCGACTGGGGCTAAAAGCTGTCATATTGTAATATTTTATTTTGCTGGTTATCAATCAATCGATCAATCAATCAATGTTTATTTTTCTCTTGTGCTAAGCAACAGCTCAAAAGCCTACTGGGTTAAGCACACACAATTGAAAGACACACAAGATACAGAGTAAACAAAATAAAGTGTTGTGAAAAAAAAAAGGTAGCATGTCAGTCGGATTAACAACTGGCGAATATTCAACGGTTTTAATCGGCCATACAAAATTCCTATCACTGCAGCTAATCTGAGGCAAATAAAAAGCATTTAATTAAGAAAATATGTTCAGATACCTAAAGCTCTAACTTTTGAAAAATATTATTCCTGAGCCAAATATAGCCTTTGATGTCAGTGACGCTTATAATTCCCTATCAATAACATTTCCAACAATTCTTGTATTTGGGCTTTCTGCTTTGTCATTCTGAGGTATACTGCGCTGCGAAGTTACACTTAACTCATAAAGGCTAAACTATGAAATGATATGAAAGACAGCTAACAGGATGACGTACTTGTGAAAGCACAAACTAGCAAGTGTTTATTTTTCGTTTCTTCTTCTTCCTTGTTTTAAAGGATGAAGATTGCTTAATAATTCACAGAATTGAAAATTCATGTTTTTGCGGGCAAGTATAGACCAGGTATTTTAGGTTACAGATATCTGCTGGAGTTTAGATGACGGACATGTACCTGAGAAATCGTGGAAAGGACTGGGACGACTAACGTATCTTCTGTCATTTGTGGAAAGTTGGTGTTGCAGCTATTTGTGTTTATCCTGTTGCCACTCTGGAGCTGATGTTCACCCTGTTGTGCTGCGGGATCTTTCTAAGCAGTTCTATTTCTGTTTGTTTTAAAGCTATTGAGGGTTCACTGATGCACTTGTCATGCCTTTCGGAAGCCATGTCGAAAGCTTTCATGATTTCGCGCTTGGTCTTGTCTTGTAATCTATCTAAGAGGGTTTTGGTTCCAAGGAGAGCTTCTCAGCTGCCCTTGTACAGTGTGCTGCCAGGTTACCATATGCCTGCAGCTGCACGAAAGCGTATTTGTGCTCTCTTAGTCTGTCATTTATGCGTCTCCCCGTTTGTCTTATGTATGATCTCCCACACGTCAATGGTATTTTGTATACAACTGCTTCAGTGCAGTCAACGAACTTGTATTTGTGTTTCACCTTACACGATGCTTGACCTTTGTGTTGCTTTCCGGTTCATTCACCTTCTTGCATAAACCTTCTAGTTTAAAAGGGACGGATTAGGCCACTCTTACTTCATGCTTTTCTGTTATATTTTTCATCACATAAAAAACATTGTAGATGTATGGCAGCACAACCACTGTTTTTTTGTCAGTAGTCTTCTCCTAGGTTTTACCTTTGCCTGTGAGTGTGTTTATGCCTTTTTTTGCTATGGCCACCATTAGTGGTTCTGGATGACCGCTTGCTTGTAGTCGGCTTCTCTGTATTTGTAGGCTGTCTGAAACTCTGTGGAAACACGATTTTATGAAGGCTTGAAGACACATCCTGAGGCGACGCTCCTCTTTACTATCTTTGAGTATCCTGAGTCGAACGGCAGTATTCCCTTTTCCCCTCTCGTCTTATACATCCAGCACGTGTCTCTTTCCCTGAATGGCATGTTGATATCCAAAAATTGTAAGCTGCCTCTATCCGGTAAATTGAATGTGAATTCCAGTTTTCTGTGTACGTCCTTGAACTTCTGCACGATTTTTGTGCACATATCCTTTGCCATTTTGTTCATCGGAAAGCATACGAAAAAATCGTCTACGTATCTGAAACCCCTCACTACTCCATTCTCCTGGAAAAAAAAAAAAAAACTGATGTAATGTCTTATTGCCTCGTGCGAGGTATATGTCGGATAATGCTGGTGCTCTGCATGAACGTATGCATATGCCTTCTGTCTGTTAGTGTACTTTCCCGTCTAGCATGACGTGTAGGGAGCATAAATAGGTTCGTAGGTTCGTATGAGACGCTAGAAATCCTTTGTGCCAATCCCACTGTGATTTTGAAACTTTAATGTACCCTACGTGTCGATGCATTCTTCCATTTCCTCTAGTGCTCCTTCTTGTGGGATTTTGTAATATATATGTTTTACGTCCACTGAAAAGGCGGTGATGGGCTATATTACTTTAAAAAATTTGATCACGTCTTCTGAGTTGCGTACTAAGAATGGATCGTATACTTGGAGATGTAACAGGTGTTTCTGCAATTCCTTAGCGATCACAAGCTGCCAGGCTCTTTATTCTTCCACTATCACACTGAATGGGCTGTCTTCCCTGTGCGTCTTTACAGCAAATAATGGATTTGGACATGGTTCCTGGCTTTCTTTAACTTTTTTTGCGATTGAGTTGAAGACTAATTTTTCACCCTCTCGTGCTACTTGTCCTCTTCCGTTTTTCCTACTTCTTTCGTTCATGTCCTTCCGTACCTTGAACTTTCTTTTCCAGGGATTCTTGCGCTTTAATTTCGTACGTCCCTTGTTCCAAGATGACAAATTCTCCTGTTTTGTCAGCCAGCAGGAGGCGGCAGTTGTTTCTTCTGAGCCGTAGTAACGTGTTGTTGGTGTTCAAGCCTGCTTGCCTGGCAATTTCTTGTTTGTCGGAAACCTCCTGCATGCCCTTCTAAGCACTCCTCTCTCTCTCTCCTTCCGTAACTTTCCTTGCAACATCACGTGCCATGCCGATCAAGTCTACTGTGTTTGCCTTCGGCTGTACTGTGTATTTGGGACCCTTCCCTAATGTCTCGGAGGTCACTTTTGGAATTGTCAGGTTGATCATATTGATTATCCTTTCATTTCCGTTATTCTTCCTTTTTCCCTTTCTCAGCATATGGTTGAAACATGACTTCCACTGACTGTCACCCTAATTTTCCGCTATATTCAGAAAGTATTTCTACATCATCTTGGCCTGTGCTGGCGTAACAGATGAGTCGCAGATACTCCTGATGTTGAGCTTGAAAAAACGTACTGGCAACCTCTTGCAGCATCGCCTTACTGTTGCCTCTGCTGGTGCCATCCTTCCAAACAGGTAAATTAGAACAGGTGCTGACGCCCCGTGGGTTAGGGCGTATGTCAGTATGCGTGTCCTACATTTTGCCCCCTCGATATATCTGATGAAAACATGAAATGCGTTGAAGAGCATGTGATGGAGAAACATGTAAGCCCGATGCACTCGAAATGAAGCCTAACAATGCTTGGATTTGGGCTAGTTGGTTTTAGAGCAGCTCTTAGGGGCCCGTTTCCAGCCTGAGCGGCGTCGGCGTCGGCGTCGGCGTCGGCGTCGGCGTAACCGGGGGGGGGGGGGTCACGTGACTCCCGAGGTCACGAGACCCCCCGCCCCCCCCCCCTCCCCCGAGACCACGTGACCCCCCCGGGGTCACGTGACTACCCGCAGGTGACGTGACCCCCCTCAGTACCCTTCCCTACTCCTCCTCAAGAGCTGCGCTCCAATTCGGCGTTACAGGGATTTGTAAACGGCTTTAATTTTTTCTTGAGTCTGAAGTATAGTGCGTTGCGAAGTTACACTTAACACATAGAGACGTAAACTATGAGATAACATGAAAGAGGGTTAAGAACATAATGTACTTGTGAAAGTGAAGACTAACAAATGTTTATTTTTCGTTTCTTCTTCTTCCTTCTTCATACCTTTGTTTTGAAGGATGAAGATTGCCTGATAACTCACGGAATCGAAAAAATTGTCATTGCGTGCAAGTATAGACAAGGTGTTATAGGGGACAGATATATGCTGGCGTTTAGATGACGCGTATGTACCTGAGAAATCGTGGAAAGGACTGGGACGTTTAATTACTTTTCTGTCATTTACAGACAGTTGGTGTTGCTGGTGTTTGTGTTTATGCTGCTACCACCCTGGAGCTGATGTTCGCCCTGTTGTGCAGCGGAATCTTTTTAAGCCGTACTATTCTTTTTGACTGTTTTGTATGATTTTTTAATGCTTTAATAGATGATTTTTTTTGGTATGCTTTCTGATGCACAAAATGACGAAGGAGATGTGCGAAAATTCATAGAGAAGCTCAGAGAACTACAGAGAGGACTGGAATTCACATTCGAATTACCGCATAGAGGCAGCCTACAGTTTTTGGATATCAAAATGACATTTGGGGAAGGGCACACGTGTTGGATGTATGAGACGAGGGAGAAAAGGGAATACTGCCATTCGACTCAGGATACTCAAAGATACTAAAGAGGAGTGTCGCCTCAGGATATGTCTGCAAGCCATAAGAAAATCATGTTTCCACAGAGTGTCGGATGGTCTACAAATACATATAAGCCGACTACAAGCGAGCGGTCATCCAGAACCGATAATGGTGGCCATAGCGGAAAAATTCATAAACACACAAGTAAAAGTAAAACCAATGAGATGACTACTGAAAAAAAAAAAAAGACAGTGGTTGTGCTGCCATACATCCACAATTTTTCGCATAGGATAAAAAAAATCGCAGGAAAACATGAGGTAAGAGTGGCCTTATTGGCCCCTGTTAAACTAAAAGGTTTATGTAAGAAGGTGAATGAACCGGAAAACAA